TCCGATAGGATTGTGAAAAGAATAAATTATGATATAATCTCAGTCTAGTCTTTAGAGAGATCGCATCGGGCCCACGCACAAGCAGCTATTACGAATCATAAACTCTCACACAGCTGGTGTCAAAATTTGACTTTAAGATCAACAGATTTAACATTCTCTCCTTTGACTAGTTGAGCTATCTATGAGGGCATTGGATTGAATAAACAAAACTAAAAGGGATGATGATCAAACATGTGCATTATTGTAGTTTCCCTTTACTACAAGTGACTATAATTCCTTAGACCATTTTCTTGGAAAATAGTTATGCCGTCTATGTTCATGCATGGATTGTTATGCCGTCTATGTTCATGTATAGATTGTGTGTGACTATTTGTACAAATAAATTCATGTCACCGGTTATTCTAGGGGAGCACGAAAACTTCTTCCTTTGTTGACAAGTGGATTGTTTGGCTAGCTATTGTCATATATTCAGATGTATGTTATTTTTTATACATTGGCATGTATGCTAATTTTCAAATAATTATATATTTATCTCTGAGTAATTGAATACTCATTTTCAAGCAAAACTAAGTTTTAGAAAATTGATTATTTGGTTACTCGATAATGAATATAATATTCATATACTCGTAAGTAAATATATTCGCCGTTGATGTACAGAAAATATCATAGAATGTGGTGTAGAGTATATATTGTTATTCTGCACAGAGACCGAAAGATCATTCCTTTTTGAAAACATCAAGATGCATGTACCAAATTACCCCCGTTTTGACTTTCACCTATACAAAAAACGTAAAGTTTTAAAAACACAAAACTAATCTACATAAGACTAAAAATTAATCTGTTTCCCTCTCTAGAACTAAACTCTTTGAACCTCAAAGTATTCTTTCATTAAGTTATTAATCAGTAGTTAGGGCCGGTTACTGAATAAAAATGAGTTGGAAAAATTTAAAAAAAGTTATAGTTAACTAGAAGAAGTTAGAATAAAAGAAAAATCAACCAAAATACAAGTAAAACATATTGCTCTTATCCCCAAAATATGGCTATTGCACTATAACAATGTGATACTGTGCATTAACATTTCATATTATTTTTTGGTATTATTTTTTTTTTGAAACAAAATGCACATCTTTCATTCATCACCAAATCAATACAAGAGTACCTCACTTAAAACATAAACAACATACACTTAACGAAAATCAACGCCTAATTGCTTCTTGATTTCCTCTCCCAGTAGATGGTCAGGTGGTTTGTTATATGGTTAAAGCAAACCTCTAAATACATCAGGCTTCTCCTTCTTGTGGAATAGGCAGTTCCTTGCTTTCCATATATGGTAGCAAGCTGCTGCATAGGTACTTATGCCCCTATCTCTTCTCCCTCTTCCTCTTATTATTTTTTTGGTATTTTGCATTATACGTCATATTATAGAGATAAAACGTGAATATCATATTTTGATTTTTTTTCATTATGTTTTACTCATATTTTAGTCTTTTATCTTAAAAGAAAATGGAAAGAGTTGAAAAATACTAGAAATGAAAAATGTTTAAATGTATACGGAGTATTACATTTTCAAAATTTTTGTTTTTATTAAAATAATTTCTTAAACTAGTCAGGACCAATTTTTTAGATTGGTTCTAGTCTTTCAATAAGTCTTCTACCAATCTTGGATCCATCCAATTCCTCTACAAGTCTTTCACTAGTCTTTAGTCCTAGTCCTCCTTACAAACTAAAGATCATTTAAAATTGTCGATTCTGGACTAGTCTAGTCTCAAAGACAAATTCAGTCCCACTCTTTTGTGGTCTCAATCCTTTCGCTCTTCTTTAGTTTTCGGTACTTTACGTAGGCCCCGTTCCGTTCAACTTATTTTTTCTTATTTTTTTCTTATTCTTATTAAAATCAGATCAGACTAGATCAGATCAGATCGAATCAGATCAGATCGAATCAGATCAGATCAGATCAGATCCAATCAGATCAAATCAGATTCAATCAGATCAGGACTTATTAAAATCAGATCTCATCAAGAATTATTATTATTATTATTATTATTATTATTATTATTATTATTATTATTATTATTATTATTATTATTATTATTATTATTATTATGATCATCATCATCATCATCATCATCATCATTATTGTTCTTAAAAATGAAAAAAAATAAACTTTAGAAATATGTTAAATAGAAAACTGAGAAAGTAATCCTTAATTATTAGACGTCGGAAAATTTAGTTTTAAAATACATTGACAATGTCAATCTAATATACTTTTAAAATATATTTTTATTGCTACTTGTAATTTGAGTTTCTAAACTTTTGATCTTTTATAAGGATGAGATATTTTAATAAAAATACTATCTCTTCTATATATTGATTATCTAAATTTAATTACTTTTTAATGTATATCTAAATTAAATATTTATTCTAATGTATAATTCTAATTTTACAAAAAAATTATCATAAAATAAAAAATATTATTACATTATCATATGAATGATTATTCTAATATATGAATTAACTATTTTTATTTTATTAAAAAATAATCATTAAATAAAAAATTGATTATATTATAATATGAATTATCATTACAATTTTCAAACGTTATTATAAAGTTAAATTAAATTATTGATTTGAAATTTTAAATTAAATCATAATAATCAGATCAGACCAGATCAGATCAGATCAGATTAGATCCAATCAGATCAGATCAGTTCCAATCAGATCAGATCAGATCCAATCTGATCAGATCAGATCCAATCAGATCAGATCAGATCAGACCAGACCAGATCGGATCAGAACTTATTAGAATTAGATCAGATCAGAAAAAATAAGTTGAACGGAACGGAGCCGTACTCATCATGGGAAATGTTTCTAACATAAAGAATTAAACTATTTATACACCAAAAATTGTACTCCCTCCGTCCCACTTTAGATTACAATATTCCCTTTTAGTTGAAATTAAGGAAGAGTCAAATCAAACTTTTTTTCTCCAAATTACCCCAAATCCCCCCAAATAGTGTGAATACTGGCTGACAAAAAGAAAAGGGAGAGTAAAAGAGTCAAATCACTATAAAGTTATTGACTTTGTAATCCTTTTTGGGACAAAAATGTGAGGGAATATTGTAATATATTTTGGGACGGAGGGAGTACTTCATTTTGTACTCCGAAGGTATGCGCTAATATTTTATGCTAGTGTGATGATTTACAATGACACAAAATATCAGTGCAATTTTTTTATTGAACTAGCACTTTGTGTCAGTGTGAAATGTTAAAGTATTAATGCATCCTTTTAGAGTACACTTCTTGGTGTACCATTGTAACATAAATGCCTTCCAAACAATCACCATCCCATTAATGTTGGTGTTGTCCATTACTCCAATGTCCTTTTTCATTTCTTTTTTTTAAAATTTTTTTTTAGCATATTGCCATATAGTAATATTTTTGTGGCTCTAATTGCTTTTAATGCCTATTACTTTTTTTTATAATTTTCAAAATATATAATGTAATAAGAAAAAGAGTATATCGTGAGAATATTTTTTGAGTTTGAATTTGGTGTAACAGATTAAAGATGAATTACTGTTTGATTTGACATTTACTACATTTTAGGTTTACGTATGATGTAGATGGTTAGAGATGGTCTAACATGTACAAGTTAAGGGCGGTTGTAGTGGTGGGTTTAAGTCTAGCTTTAAACCCAAAAGGCTAGTTTTAACCATTACAAAGAGAGACCTTATACTACTTTTCTAAAATGGTACTTTCTAAGTGGATGTTTTCTCAATTTCTCAATATAGTTTATTTTCGAAATAAAAATATATTAATTACGAGAAAATATTTTAAATTTTATAGGATGACAATATAACACTAAAAATTATAAATATAATTTTATAAATTTAACGTCTTAGATTATTTAGAAGAATGTCCTATAAATAAAATATTTAATAAACGCTAAAGAAATCACCCTAAATATGAGAAATAAAAAAATGCCAAAATATGAACTCTTTCCTTATTTTTTCATAATTAATATATTTTTATTTCGAAAATGGACCAATTTAAAAAAACATGTAGTTAGAGAGTATCATTTTAGGAAAATATTAGTATAAGGTTTAACGTCCTTTTAACACTGTTTTAACGGTCGTTAGTCGGGATGACTGAACTGAACATTATTCTCAATTAACGAGTACCATCTCGAGAATCAGTTAATTTTAAGGACTAATTTGAGAAAACACATAATTATGAAGTACCATTTTAGAAATTTACTCAAAGATTTAAGTACTTAGTTGTCTTAGGGCTTGTTCTCTTCACCTGATTAGAATAATTCTGATCTGATTGGAATAAGTTCTGATCTAATCTGGTCTGAATTGAAGCGAATGTAGCTATATTTAAAGCTATTTTTGATCTAAACTGATTCCAATAAGTAATACGAATAAGTTAAAGGAAAACTAACCTTTTGACCTACTAGAATCATTTCTGGTGGTTGAGCATTCTGACTGCTAATAATTTGTTCTCTAAGTTGTGTATTCAAATACTCATTGGAGTATTTAAATTTCCCAAACGCTCACATCGTTTTGCGAAAGCTGCTAGAAGTTTGGGCGAATATGTGAATACCTCAATCTTCTCGTGTGCCTTTGGGAACCCACTCACAAAAATTGGATGAATTTTCAAAAGACAAAACTTGATCAAAATAACCTTTTTCCGAGTTGACATGAACAAACCCGGCTAGGGGCTACCGCCCCTTGAACCCCTCTACCCGAGGCTACAACCCAAGACCCCCACTTCTAAATGCTTGAATCCTTAACATTATTGAACGAGCATGTAATTTACACCGGCCTCCTAACTCGTACCAATATTTATTATGACTTCAGACATGGTCTTTTATGTATCTAATTATACAAAAATAGTCCGATGGCACAAAAATTACGATCTTTTCGTGGTAAAGCATTAAATAAACACACAACAATGAGAAGATCGGTGCATGCAAATGCAAACTCACATTTGTAAAATATACACATCACATTGCCTTATTAGATCAAGGAAAATTCAACTCAACAACATTGTTTCAAACGCAGTGAAGAACATGAAGTACACATATGTTTGACCATCTAATTTTATTTGTTCAATTGAAGAATTGCTGCACCCCACAGAAGGGAGGTGGGCAAGAACCTGATGAAATGGGACATAATACTAATAATGTCCACAAGAAAAAAACCAAGACAGAAAGGCACCAGTTGGCATTGCCAGAGAGTCAGTCTTAGCATCAGTTTCCATGGCCTCCCACCTTGCACGATGCAACAATATCTTCAACTCAATTATTACACACACACACACACACACCACAAACATGCACAAATAAAAGGACTCCCACACAGACAAATCTTGCGCAAAACACAAAGGCAATGACACACAGACACACATATGGATTTGAATTGAAGTGACAACTCGCGGCGAAAATGGTAAATTTTTGAAGTACCGAGGTGTGGACTGGAGAACGCGAAGCAGTTGGAGGGTGTTGGCGAGGAATCTTGTTGGTTATAACTCCATTGATCTTCGGACGGCACGGTGCATGTGAAAACTTTAGGTTTCAGGACTGGCTGAGAAAGAGGCATGCTCCCTTCTGTGGAGGGAGAAAAAGAGTTTCAACAGGCAATGTTGTTTTGGCTGTGCCTGCAAAAAAAGAGGATATGGCGAGAAAAGGTGTATGCCACACGAATCGCTGAAACGTGAGGAACCCATAGAGCATATGGGACAAAAAACCACTTGCACGTGTGCGCCTAGGTAAATCTAGGAGCCAATTCAACAAGATTTATGTTTGTTTCCGGGTCGCGTCCTCTGTGGGTTATGAGAGGATGTCGCACCTCCATAAGCTCTCCATGAGTGATTCGATCGCGCTGCCAGTAATGGAATTGCAGTGTTGAAGATTCAATCCGAGTAGGCTCTTTCCTAGTTTCCTAAGAGAAGCTACACTCTTTCTTGATACCATTGTGCAGCCAGACAAGGAAAGAATCTGCAGATTGGTTTGGATGCCGTGGGACAGTGCAGAGACGCCGGAATCAGTTATTGAACATTTTGAAACGTCGAGATCGTTTAGCATGGCACAGTTCTCAGCAACAGCCACCATGCTTGCATCAGAAACCTTCCTGCACCCATCAAGGTTCAAGACTTGCAGGGTCTTACAGTGCAGCCTAGCCAGGGATAGGATAACTTCATCACTCAGATTGAGGCAGTCAGTGAGGTTCACCTTGACAAGCCCAGACTCGCAGCTTTCTAGAAGAGGGAGAATGGAAGCGTCGGTGATCCCATAAAGCCCACTCAGATCCAAGGAATGAAGCTGAGGGCAAAGCTTTCCAACTGTGGCCAGACTGGCGCTACCAAAACCAGGGCAGTTTCGGATGGTCAAGGATCTAAGAGTTTCGCACGGGGCAAGAACAAGAGTTTCTGAAGTAGGTATATCCTTGATTCCCATACACTTCACTACGCAAAGGGATTTTAACTTTCTGCAATTTGAAACGGCATAGAGGATACCGGTCTGGGTTATCCTGTTGCACTCTTCTAGCTGCAAGCACTCTAGGGAGCCAGCGGCTTTAGTGAAGGCGGCCAGGCCATGGTCAGACACAAAGCAACACTTGCGAAGACTCATCTGTTTTACATTTGGGCAACCCGTGCCCAAAGCTTCGAGACTCACATCTGTCACCCCCCTACACAAAGAGATAGCCAAAGAAGTCAGCAGTGGCAAACCTCGGGCATTGCCCATTACCCAAAACCCCTTCTGGCTCACATTCTGAAGTGAGCTGAGATTGAGGCAAGTGATTGCTTTGCCGTAGTGTCCAATAACAGCAAGTGAGAAATCAGTGATGTTTAAGGCATGGAGTTTCACTTTTGTTAAGACAGCAGAAGCAGATGAAGAAAGTAGACTTGCAACACCCTGGTCGCCAACTAGGCGGCAGTCCTTGATGGTAACAGACTCCAGTTTTGCACAGTACCTTCCGATAGCTTGAAGCCCCTCATTTCCTATCTTTGAACATGACTCGATTGTCAAAGAAGTTATGTTTGGGCACTTCTCTGCAATTGCAGCCAGACCCTTGTTGGAAATGGAAGGACACTGGCATAGATCCAGCTTCTCCAGCGAATGACATTCCCTTGCAATCTCTAAAAGACCTTCATCACCAACATTAGGAACATTCCACAAGGATAGGACCCTAAGGGAAGGGCAGCCACGCGCAATTGCTGATAGACCGACATTACTGATTCCGCGAGACGTGTTGCTCCCTCGGACATAGAGCTTCCCAAGTCCCCCTCGGCTTGAAGTTCCAACTGCTATAGCAGCAAGCCTCACATCGGTAGCTTTCTTCCCTTCAACAGATCTTGAAAGGTACCCATCACCTTCTACTTCAAGATCTTCGTCAGCCGGGCTCATCTTTACATCATTTGAAGCAACTTCATTCTTGCCTCTGAAAGATTCGGAACTACGGACACTACTCATGAGCATGAGCCAGCGCTTGGAAACACAAGCAGAGGAACTCCTTTCACGGCCTCCTCCCAAGCGTCGAAGGATCTCAAACAAACATTCATCTGGAAGGATTTCAATGGATGGTTTCTTTGTCTGTGTTTGGTCTTCGATAACAAATGGGCCACTGATTCTTGCCCTCTTTCTAGCGGGGCAGTAAACATCCACATGACCAAGGGATAACAAAAGGCCCAAATCTGACGAACACAACGAACTCCCAGCCAGGAAGTCATCATCACCTGAAATAAAATCATTTATGAACTAATCCGGGAATCTACTCATTTGGTTCCCAATGTGAGGCAAAACATAATCTTAAATCCATACAAATCATAATCTTGTTAATTTTCACGTTATTAGTACTGACCTTCGAAACTAACAACTCCAATGAGATAGATCGTGAAATTTTAATGTTTGTAAAAGTTTCTATATATGGCCTTCATATTTTCTATTGAAGTTCTTAACTTTGTAAAGTCAAGTGAGCACATCAATAAAACAATTCCCAAAGATGCTTTTTTTCCCTGCATAAAGATATATGTGTATCCAATCTATTGGTTTCCGATTTTATGTTTGCCTCCGCTACAAATAGAATATCTATCACTAACTAAGTCACCAAAGGTATGTACTTTGCTCCATAAAAGGAATTCCCATCTACATCTGTTTTCTAAAAGAGAGCTTCTGGTAAATCAAGAAAATTAACCCTAAATTGCACGCCATGAACTAACAAATAAATTAATCAGAAACTTGAAGAGATACCACAGAATAAAATTTTAAACAAAGGAAAATAAAATAAAAAAGTGTATACCTCTGTGACTGTAATTAACAAGAGTAGGCATGTCAGTTGTTTTTCAGAAGAAAACGCCCAGCAGAGATGAAAAAAGATGAGATTTTTAACAAAAATCAACACAACCCAGATTAGGGTATCAACCAAGATTTGCATTCCAAATTCCCAGAAAGTTCAAGAAAAATCCCCACTTGGAGGAGGGAAAAAAAAAAGAAGAAAGAGAAGGGCAGGAAGAGAGGATGAAGAAGAGAGAGGTTGTTTATTACAGTTTTGGGTATGTATATATATATACACACGCACAAAGTATGTGCATTATCTATAAATAGTCATGGTCAATTGCATTTTCTTTAATTAACTGTATTTGGTGAGGTGTCAAGACCATCGTTGGATCCAAAAACCATTACCTGTTTCCTCCCATTCTCACAATGTTCAATGTATCATTCCCTATGACCGGCTTTTCCGGTCATCCTTTTCGCATCAAGCATTCACGCCACATGTAGGGGCTGTTTGGCAACTTCTGAATCGATAAGTGCTGAACCAGTAAGAGGTCTGAACCATTTAGTGCTGAACCAGTAAGAAGTCTGAACCATTAAGAGCTAGTATATTGCTTAACTATTTAGAGGCAAATGTCTGATCAATTCAAATAAGAGGTCTTAACCATTCAGACTCTGTATAATACTTAACCATTCAAAGGCAAATCTCTTAATCATTCAGACATCTGAACCATTAAGAGGCTGAAACAAACAGTCTGAACCATTAAGTGCTGAACCATTCAGAACCATTAAGAGGTTGAAACAAACAGCCCCGTACTCTTTCTAGTTTTACTTTCAACGCACTCCCCCAACCAAGTGCCAACTAGAGCCAGAGGTTTCTGTTTCTCGGTTCAACCAATGCTGAAACTGGGACTGCAGATTGAGATGGGTCTGATCGTACATCAAGTGGTCAAGGGGGTACAATAGCACCTTTTAGGATTGTTGGATTTTTTTAGCATGGTAATGCAGCAACTTGGGGCATAATTTTGGTGGGGTCCACTAATTATTTTTCTATAGTAATTACGGATAATTAATTTCCAAAGTGAGATGAATTGTCGACATATTATACGTAAAAAATGGTGTTTAATTGAATGAAAAATTAATTCACAAAATCGGATAATTGGAAAAAGTAAAATAGTGTCTCACATCAGATTTTAAGGTCTTTCATCTTCTACTATTTACATGCTAGATTGAGTTACATTGCAAAAACAATTTGAGAAAGAAGAATAAAAGGAATCTCGTGCAGCGCCACCCTCTGTCTAGATCGGGCGTGCTGGCGTGTGGTGTACGACGCGTCCTGGCGAGGGTGTGGACCAACTCCTATTTTTTTACGAGATCGATTTGAACACAAGTGGATACTTTGTTATTAACGAAGCCCGAGTTACTCATGCAAGCAATCTACTTCTCTGCATACATTCAACCTCTTTCTCACATTCCAGTCAACTTTACGGCGAGTAACTTTCCTTCATTACAGTTCAACAATGTACTATTCTACCACTCTAAACTTTGCACGTTAGCGATTTTATCTTGGAAAGAGATCATCCACGTTGTCAGAACGGGAGGTGGGCTGTAATACCCCGTATTAACATGCTTGGGCGCGCACGAGTGAGGACAAAGTGTACGGGAAAGACTTGTGTTGGTTTGTGGGGCCAGTTTACAATTTTATGAGCAGACACTTACGGCTAGGGTGGGGGCCGGGGTGTTACAAATGGTATTAGAGCAACCCTGCGACCGTGACGGGCCAAAAAGAGCTTAGTTCACCTAGCGGGGAAGATCTAAGGGTTTAAAAACAAATGATGCAACGAGGACGTTGCATTCCTAAGTGGGGCTGAATGTAATACCCCGTATTAAGATGGGAATGAAAAGAGCTCAAAAGAATTGACAGTACTACTCATACCAACAAGGTACATCTTCTTTTCGAGAGCTTATCACCTAGAAACTCCAAAAGTTAAGCGTGTTTGACCTGGAGCAATTTTAGGATGGGTGACCCCCTGGGAAGTTTTCCTTGGGCGTGCACAAGTAAAGACAAAGTGTGCGGGAAAGACTTGTGTTGGTTTGTGGGGCCAGTCTACAATCCTATGAACGGACACTTATGGCTAGGGTAGGGGCCGAGGTGTTACATGGGCGATACTACCTTAAGGAAAGATCTAGCAGTTCCACTTTTCTTAACGTTTTTTCCACGTACTTCTCCATCCAAAATTGTCCAGCCCGACGCTCAAAAGCTACACAATATGTTCATATATTGCATCTTCGAAGTCTAGTCTTTTTCTTTATTTTTTATTGTAAATTTGAACGGTTTATAAGTTTGAATCTCTCATTTTTTGGTTTTTTCATTCCTTTGTATTGTTTCTCAACAAGGATGTTTTCATTATATTTTTTAAAAAAAAATAATGATAATCAGGCCCTATTGTTTTGGATAAAAAAATTTAGAGTTCGATGTTGGAAAAAACTAAAAAAACTGGAAAAAAAATTAGAAGAGAAAGAAAAAATTGGAAAGAGTTAAAAATAACTATAAGAAATTGGATAATGCTTGAAAATGATAAAAAAAGCTCAGACTACACGAATATTTTGAAACAGAAGTACCATATAAATTTAACATGATATATACTATTCCCATTGAGTCATTTGGGCAAGAAAACAAAAACTAGTGTTTTTTCTTACATCTGTATGATGAAAAGTGAACTATGCGGTAATAGGACCAAAATATAGAGTAGGGGGCTCAATTGAAAGGGGCGGGGTAGGTTCAATCGAAGAGGGTGAGAGGTGAGATCAGGTTGGTCCAGAGTTAGGGGTCTGCTAGGAGTTTAGGAGGCTAAGAGCCATGAATTTTAGTTATAACCTTGGCATTATTTATCTTATATCATAAAATCATTTCATTTAATTTTTAAAATGTAATGCTTATTTTGTTTATACATGTTTATACGTAAGTTATTACTTGAAAAGTGGCTAGTTGTCAAAACTCTTTTTACAAAACCTATCCAACGAGACTAATACTGCACATATAACTTTGACGTTATGCCTCTCTTATATTTTTCAAATAAGTATAGAAATAAAAGGCATAAGTTACGTATTTCAAAACATTATCAAATGTTTAATGCAACAAGATGTGACAAGAATATTTTGCTTTATCAAATAATCAATAAAAATAGATAAGTAAAAAAAAGTTATCGGAAGGCCATGATAATAAGTGAGAAGATAATTCTAGGCGTAGTAATAAGTGAAAAAACTATGTCCAGTAAGATAGATAAGGATGGGCTAGTACTTGGACCAGAAAAAATGAGATCGAAGTGGTCCTTGTGACCGATTCAATCTTAAACGGGTAATCTCATCTATTATTTGATATTTGGAGAAAGATTAGCCTCTTCTCGGACAAGATGGTCTTTTCTGAAATTCTAGAATCAGACATAGACTAGAGTTGTAATGCATTTGAAATATAATGTTTATACAAATATACATATACCTCAAATTTTAATTTTTATATGGATACTAATACTTTACAATATTTTTATAGAATTGCTGATAAGTGATAACATAACAAAAAAAATCTCAAATGTAAAGAATATTCAAATAAAAATTTATTTAAATTACTAAGTAAAGATATTCATGTTGCATAAACAGTAACTATAAATCAATCAAGTTTAAGATTCAAAGAAATTAAGTACTCAAAAGTAAGTTTTTTTTATTTTTTTTAAAGAACAAAAAAATTTACATATAAAAAATAAGGATCGGACCGGGCTTTCACCGTTCCTAACCAGATTACAGAGTCTCATAAGGTCTGTTGGGAAAAATATTATAGATTTTGATGATGATGTATGTAGATTGTAATAGAGACTTTATGCCTCCCCCATAATTCAATGTAATTTTTTTTCTCTTATAAATCTTGTTAAAATCAAGTTTTTGAGTTTTTAAATAAAACTTGTGATATTTTGTCTTGAGATTTGAGCATCCATGTTATGAAGACTTGTCAAAAACAAAAGTTATGGTAATCGGAAATCTCACTCGGAGATATCATAGACAAGAACGGAATTCTAAATGAAGTCAATTACTTCGGAATTCCAAAGTCCCGAAGACTCAAGTTCTACCCAGAAGTCTCGCAGTCATCCGTATGAAGGCTAGCACTCCGGATATCTATGTATCGGAAGACTAGCACGGATCACTCTGTGAGACACTATCTCACCCAGAAGTCTCAGCATCACTTATCTGGATCTGCCAGAATCAAGAGCCGGATTTCTCAAAGGACCGGAACTCTCAAACACATAAGTGAGAAAAAGGACTTAGGAAATTAATTTAAGTCATGATTGAAGGAATTCTATCTGCTGCCAAAGAAAATTTTTTCCTTGAATTTCAAACGGCTGGATTGAGGATAATTCAATTAAATTCGAGAACAAATGACAAGAAGACAAAGTGTGGACTCCCCAATTAAAGAGCTACAGTCCAGAATTCTCGAGCAAAAGCTAGAAGACAAATTCCATGACAAAGGAATCAATCTTTAACAAAAGCTTATGTCTAAAAGAAAATTTCCAAGGAAAATCATCACGCTCCTTCATTCAAATTAAAGCCAACAGACGTAAGGATAATATATTCCCTTCAACGGATAGATTAAACCATCCAGCCATCTATATATAGCTCCTATAGAAGATTGAAGAAGACACCACAACCGAACCAATCACAGTTAACCAAGAGTGAAAAATCCTCAAATTCTTGAAAAAGAGAGAATTCAAAAACTCCCTATCTAGAAGCAAACTTCTCATTCTTCCAAAGAGCTATAAGTGAAAGTATTTGAAGGTTTCCTTGCCTCAAGTACAACACCGATAATAATTGTTGAGATTTTAAGTGCGTAAGATTTTAAAAATATCAAGAACGTGAAAAATAAATAAACACACACAAGAAAAAAATATGAGAGAAAAATTATATCTTCACTATTCTAGAATGATACACAAAAAACTCTCTCTGTTTACAACTTACAAGTGCTAAATACCAAAGACTTATAAACATATTTTCACACCCTACACCCAGATGTATTTTTCTGAGTAAATAAATAGTAGTTACTCATATACTCAGTGACACAATCTTGGTGATATCTTGTATAACACCTCTCTCTTAACCCTCTTCTTTTTTCCGTTCAATGCACTCATCCATGTTTTTCCACGGCTTTTAAATAGCCAAGAACATAATAGTGGGGAATATTAGAGCTGACAATCCCAAGAGGAAGAGAACAAAACTCC